CACACACACACACACACACACACACACACACACACACACACACCATACAAAAATAAGGAAAGGTAATAATTTTTTAATCCTCCAAGAAGCCAGGTATACACATACACCTGCAGTCCCAGGACTTCAGAGAACAAGACAGGAGGCTCACAGCAGGGGTTAGGCTAGCCTGGTCTACATAGGGAGACCTAATATCAAAACACAACAGACTCGCGATATCTGTCTATCTGTCAGTGTATTTGCTGAGGTGACAGGCAGAAACCCTACAGCCAGTCTATGGCTTGTTGAGTATTGAACCCAGGGCTCCATGCACGGTAGGTGAGCACACTACCATCTGAGTGACATCCCAAGACCAGTTAAGATTTTAAAACAGCGTCTAAGTAGTAACCCTGTCTCTTCGGTAGCCTTAGGATCTGCACCTGAGCCCCTGTCCTGGGGAAACATTTTTGGTGTCCCAGTGCTGGAGGCTAGGCCTTGAATCACATGCGCCCAGGGTCTCTGAGCTGTAGGAGTAGACGGGTCCAGTGGGAAGAGGAGGAAGGACTGAGGGTCCCACAGGGACCATGGGGACAAGCTGAAGGTGATTCCCTGAGCTTCAGCCACTGCCTGTGGCTTCCTGGGTAAGGGAGATTGGGGGTGAGGTCAAGGAAGCCTTCAAATCAAAGGTTTTCTCCTGATATCAGCACTCAAGGCAGAAGGCAATGGCCAAGACCAGCATGAAGAGAAGTAGGAAACATGGCGGCAGGAGAGTCCAGAGCATGGAGAGGTGAAACTCTGGACTCAGAACAAAGGCTGTTGCCTGGCTGTGACCTTGGAAAGTCAGCTGGTCTAGCCACCTCATGGCTACCTCATCTTGTAGATTGTGGTGGTTTAAAAGAAAATAGCCCTGAAAGGGAGTGGCACTATTAGGAAGTGTGGTATTGTTGGAGGAAGTGTGTCACTGTGGGGTGGACTTTGAGGTCTCTTTTGCTCAAGCTTCCCTCGTGTGACTGTCAAGATGTAGACTCTCAGCTCCAGCACCATGTCTGCCTGCACACTGCCCTGCTCACCATCACGATGATAATGGACTGAACCTCTGAAACTATAATCGAGCCACTCCAATAATTAAATGTTTTCTTTATAAGAATTGCCGTGGTCATGGTGTCTCTTCACAGCAATAAAAGCCCTAACTAAGACAGAAGTTGGTACCAGAGACTGTGGTACTGCTGTGCTAGGCCTGACCATGATTTTGTTTGGAATAATGTGGATTTTAGGACTGTGGATTAGAAAAGCAGTTGAACGTTTTAAGTGCTACTTAATGGACCATACTAATGGGAGCATGGGAGACAGTGGTGTTGCGTGAGATTTGATGAAGTGTGGGGGGGCTCACTCAAGAGGTTTCAGAGGAGAAGAATTATAGTATGTTGCCTAGAGATCATTCTTGTGATATTTTGGAGAAGAAAATGGCCACATTTGCTCTTGTCTGAAGAGTCTGCCTGAGGTTAAAGTGAAGAGTTTTGTATTAATTCCAAAATTTTGAGGAGAAAAAGAGCACCAGGAAGTGGAATGGAGCTAAATTCTATGTTCAAGGAGATAAGCAGATTAAGAACTGGAATAGAGGGAGTAGTGACCTCAGGGCAAGATCCCACCCAGCTAAATTTCCAACGTGTGAAAAGGAACTAAAGAAAAACTTAGAGCCAGGTATGGTGGGGCACACCTTTAATCCCAGCACTGAGAAGGCAGAGGCTGGCAGATCTCTGAATTCGAGGCCAGCCTTGTCTACAGAACAAGTTTCAGGACAGTAAAACTTAGGCAGTGAAGGACAGAAAGCTGGTGAAGATGTAATTGAATGAGGGAGCCATGTTCCAGCCCCAGCAAGCAGCAGAACTTGGCAGCTTCAGGCACATGGTTTTGGCTTTAGAGTTAAGGACAGAAGAAACAGGTTATGAAATTTGCCTCCATGCCTAAAGAAAGTCACTGAGGCCAGGTGTGGTGATATTTTATTTGTGCTCTAACAAATTAAGCTTGTCTAGAGATGTCAGGCAATGGTAGCACAAGCCTAGCATTCAGGAGGCAGAGATTCATCCAGATCTCTGTGAGTTCAAGGCCACAATGGGAACAGAGTCAGGGGTGGTGGCACATGCCTTTAATCCCAGCACTAGTTAACCATAAAGGTCTGGAGGTCTGTACAGACAGACAGGAAGTAAGATGGCAGGGCACAGAAAGGTATATAGGCGTGAATTTATAGGAAGTAGCTCTCTCTTGGGCTGAGGATTTCCTAGCAGTAAGAACTT